ATTTAGTATAGCCGGCATATATATATATATATATATATGTATATAAAGACACGCCCCAACCAGTGCGCCACGTGTCAAACAAGTACAGCCCACCGACCATACCATCTTTGTTTAAAAAAATTCAAAAAATAAAATAAAAAAGATCTAGTATAGCCGGCATATATATGTATATAAAGACAACCCCAACCTGTGCGCCACGTGTCAAACAAGTACGGCCCACCGGCTATACCATCTTTGTTGAAAAAATTCAAAAACAGGAGTATAGCCGCCCGGCTATACTATTTTAAAGGCAATTTGGAAAAGCTGATTATATATACCCTTTTTTTTAATTTATAAATATATATTATTTTTATTCAATAATATGTGAGAGTTATGTGTGTCTTGTTGAATTTTTGTAAAAAATAGGTGCTTTAAACATGGGAAATACGTGCGTACATGTATAATACATTATTAAACGTGAAGGCGCTAGAATCTTTGTACGGATAACAACTCTGGAAAAGTAAAAAATGAAAAAGGGACAATAGATACTCGTGTAATGGCCTAATAGTAATTGATAGGGCTCTTGGGCTGTTGAGAAATTAATTAGGACACCCAAAAGATTTCACAAAAGACTTAGTAAATAGAAATTAATTATTTTGTGGACTTTTTCTATAAATTTTTTGAATTAAATAATAAATAAAATATCATTCCTAGTTAAAGTAATTGAAAAAGGATAAGACATTACATAATTATATATATTGAATCAAAGAAGTAGGAAAAAAAACAAAAGTAAAGAAACAAATTATACGTTTTTAAAATTTTTAAAAACGTATAGCCGGTCGGCAATACTATTTATTTATTAAAAAAGGATGAGCCCAGAGCATAAGTGCCACGTGTCGAAAAAGTACAGAGGACGGCTATACAATTTCTTATTTTAAAAAAAGGAAAAAAATGGGTATCGCCGCACGGCTATACTATTTCTTTCAAAAAACAAACAAGGATCTAGTATAGCCGGCTGGCTATACTATTTGTATAAATGTATATAAAGACACGCCCCAGCCCACGTGTCAAACAAGTACAGCCCACCGGCTATACCATCTTTATTTTAAAAATTCAAAGAAAAAGGAGTACAGCCACCCGATGATACTATTTCTTTCAAAAAAAGTAGTGTCCAATTTAATTGGAAAAAGTTTGAGAATTCAAATTAGAGATTGAGGATTCTATGGGACACAAAAGATCTGTGAAAACATGAATTAAAAAAACTGAACCGATTCAAAAACACTTGTCTGTTCCGTGAGCTAGGGTTGGTTAGATCAAAGGCTAGAAGTGTCCAATTTGACTGGAAAAAGTATGAGAATTCAAATTAGATATTGAGGATTCTAATGGACACAAAAGATCTGCAAAAACCTGAATCAAAAAAACTGAACCGATTCATCCACACCCGTCCGTTACGTAAGCTAGGGTTGGCTAGATCAAAGGCAAGGAGTGTCCAATTTGATTGGAAAAAGTATGAGAATTCAAATTAGAGATTGATAATTCTAATGGACACAAAAGATCTATGAAAACATGAATTAAAAAAACTAAACCGATTCAACAACACCTGTCTGTTTCGTGAGCTAGGGTTGGTTAGATCATAGGCTTGGAGTGTCCAATTTGACTGGAAAAAGTATGAGAATTCAAATTTGAGATTGAGGATTCTAATGGACACAAAAGATCTACAAAAACATCAATCAAAAAAACTGAACCGATTCAACAACACCTGTCTATTCCGTGAGCCAGGGTTGGCCATATCAAAGGCAAGGAGTGTCCAATTTGATTCGAAAAAGTATGAGAATTCAAATTAGAGATTGATGATTCTAATGGACACAAAAGATCTGTAAAAACATGAATTATAAAAACTGAACCGACTCAACAACACCTGTTTGTTCCGTGAGCTAGGGTTGGCTAGATCAAAGCCTATGAGTGTCCAATTTGATTGGAAAACATACGAGAATTCAAATTAGGGATTGAGGATTCGAAGGGACTGGAAAGATCTGCTAAAACAACCAAAAAAATTGAAATTATTCAATAATATATGTCTGTATAATTAGCTAGGGTTGGCTAGATCAAAGGCTAGGAGTGTCCAATTTGAATGGAAAAAGTATGAGAATCAAAATTAGAGATTGAGGATTCTAAGGGACCCAAAAGATCTGTGAAAACATGAATTAAAAAAACTGAACCGATTCAATAACACTTGTATGTTCCGTGAGCTAGGGTTGACACTTTTGCCCGTCTCCGCCAAGCAATATGTTGTAGTCCACATTCGACTCCACAACATAAAAGGCCTTAACTCTTGTCTGATCGTACACAGTTATTTTCAATGGCAATATTGCAATGGTTTTGGGCTTGTTACCGACAAAGCCGCTCATGGCCACGCCACACGGGATAAGATCTTCCTTGGTCTTATTCAGGTTCTTCATCAGGGAATAGGGAAGAACATTGACTTGAAGGAAACATACATCTGATGGTTAGGAAATGAACTTTAGCCACAACCTATACAACAAAAACATTCTAAATGGCGGATTCATTTTGTTTATACATGTTGAGCTAAACCTTTTTCATTTTAAACCAAGTATCTTAGCCTAGTCTCTTGTAACACAAATAGAAAAAGGAAAAAGGCAATAGATCTTTTACCCATGATGACCTTTTCTTGATTTCTCAAGAATGAACACCTTTGTTGGAAAGTCCTTTTGTTTCTCTTGATTTTGACTTCTTCACCTTGTGGCTCCAAGATTGGAGTCCTCTACGTCACCACACCAAATCCTCTTAGAGATAAAGAGAAGGCAATCAAGAAGTACGGATGCTAGTCTACTTCTTGATTAGACCAATTTTTGGTTTATGAAAGATGAGATACAAAGATGATCACTCATCGACCAAAGTAGGAAACCAAAAACCCTAGGTAGGTTTTCTCCAACACTTAGCTTATATAGGACAACACAAAAGGCAATTGGGTGGGTATTTGGGGTTCCATTTGGTCCATGGGTCATGTCATCTTATGCCACTTTATCCCTTGGGCCTAGTAGCCCTTTGGGCGATTTTGTCCCTTTCCTTTTAAATCATATTTAAAACCCCAATCCAATATTTCTATATGTCAATATTAATTCCATAATTAATCTTTTAATTATAATTTAACTATTAAATTATAATTATAGTCTTACTTAATTGACCCTGTCAAATTGTTTGACTTTGGTCAATTGCTCAGGTCAATATGTTGACTTTTGATCGTTGACTTTAACATTTGATTATCAACCATTGACTTGTGTCTTCTCATTTGTACATCAAATCACATTCTTTGGGTGTGCAGATCCATAGGTTCCCTTTAGCAAGGTAGTGGGTTGACTCAACTCCTCAGAAATGATATACAAATTTAATTCCATAATTTAATTCTTCCTATTAATAAAGGTTAATTGAAACCTTTTAGGACATCCATAAACCATGGTTAGAATGACCGTGCAACTGAATCCTTATCTTATGTCAATACTCCTTATTCACATTATTAGATCATGAAATCTAATTGTCGATATCCTAGTGTGAATCATTCCTTTTATATGATTATCCCACTGAGATTTCAAGATTTCTTCTTTCAAGTCTTATCCACTACTTTGCGCAGAGATTTGACCAACATAGCTTATATCAGGCCTCGTGCATAGCATGCAATACATTAGACTCCCAATTGCGTAGGCATATGGGATGTTACTCATCTGTTTCACTTCCTCTTAGGTTCTAGGGCTCATAATCTTAGACATGTGAATACCACTTCTAACTAGTGAATAACCCTTCTTGGATTGTTCCATGTAGAATATTCCGAGCACCTTAGCTAAGTATAGGGATTGAGATAATCCAATTAGCTTTCTCGATTTATCCCTATAAATCTTGATACCCAATATGTAAGATGCATTACCCAAATCCTTCATTGAGAAGGTCTTTGATAACCATAGTTTCACCGAGGTCAACAAGCATATGTCATTTCCAAACATGAATATGTCATCCACGTGTAGAACAAGGAATACGACTGCGCTCCCACTGGCCTTCTTGTATACACAAGGTTCATCTCAGTTTTGATCAAAATGAAAAGTCTTGACTGCTTCATCAAAATGAATATTCCAACTCCTTGAAGCATGCTTCAGTCCATAGATTAGCCTTTGCAGCTTGCATACTTTCTCTTCTTCATTTTTAGATATGAAGCCTTCAGGTTGTTCCATGTAGATCTCTTCCTGAAGATGTTCGTTAAGAAAAGCTGTCTTCACATCCATCTGCCATATTTCATATTAATAATATGCTGCTATGACGAGAAGTATGCGGATGGATTTTATCATTGCTACTGGAGAGAAAGTTTCTTCATAATTGATCCCTACTCTTTGTCTGTAGCCTTTAGCTACTAATATAACTTTGTAGGTCTCCACCTTGCCCTTAAAGATACATTTGTTTCCAATTGGCACTATACCTTCAGGTGGATCAACCAATGTCCAGACTTGGTTGGCATATATATAATCCATCTCAGACTTCATGGCTTCTTGCCAAAAGGAGAGCCACGTGCGTCATTGCCAAAAATAAAGATTCTTTCTCTCACATGATATTATGTCAAAGCATGCATGCAATCTTTGTTACAGATTCTGGTTAACGTGGTTCAATTGGATGCCAACATGGGCAAGAAGGATACCCACGTACTCCTTTCAAAAGCCCATATGAGGTATAAATAATGGCACCTAACTGCCAGACCACCAATGGATAGTGTCCACCTTGGTGTCTTCATCAAGTTTTGTTCAGCAAAAAGGGCTTAAGAATGGCACATTATCGTTCGGTGCCCCCATGCAAATAAGCATATAAAGACTTCCAGCACCTCTCATCCGCTGAAAACAGATGTCATCTCTCACCTCTCGCTAAACCTCTCAAGACACCCATGGTGTCACACCAACAAGGTGCGGATCGGCAAATCATAGTTAGCCTGTGGCACCCAGCCGCCAATTTTTATCAAGACACCAATGCCTTATTGCAAGCACTGTGCAAAAGAAAAACAAGGGGCGCGAGGATGTCACCTTGCCGAAAACACCAAAACTTCCAGGGAGCCCCAAGATTTTCTTTTCAGTTACCCTTGCGGAAACAGCAAGGGGCTATGCAGCAGAAAAGGCTCAAAATTCTTCAACTTTGCCGAAGCAAGCCCGCATGCCAGGCCTTCACTCTTTGCCAAAGGCCCAAACACAAGCTCCCTAGCCGCAGAACAAGACCAGCCCTAAGGGGATCCGACACCGAAAATCAGAGGAAGCCACCCTTGCCAAACAAGGAATCGGAGGGGCTCACACCAAATCTGCCAAGGGGTGACAAATATCAAATTTATATCAGCCCAGCCCCGAACCAGCCCAAAACACCTAAGCGCACTTTCACCTCTTGCCGAAGGGAGCTAACGGTGCAATCTGCATTTGAAACACTATCACCTACCAAACGGAAAGGATCAACCGAAAGCAGAACAAACTACAAAAATCAAAATCCACACCCACGTGCTACAGAACCAAGAGGCCCAGACCTATGGCTGTACTTAAGCATAAATGAAGGCTCAGCTTCAGGTTCCAAGCTCAATCCCTTCTCTCCTTGGCCCAACCAAGACCCTGTCAGAGGATCACACAAACCACCATCATAAAGAATATACAAACAAGCCCCCAGTATGTTCTCAATCCATCCACCCTTGCCGTTCGGCAAGGGTTGAGCGGAATGAAAGGAGAGCCCCAACAAAGACTTACCTCAACGCAAACCCAGCTCCAATCCTTCTTCCAAGGCGCAGCTCAAATTTCGGAGCCCAACTCCTTCCTTCCTTGCCAAACGGCACCTAAACGCAGAAATTATTGCCTCCACTCAGCATAAAAAAGTATATTTCCACCCTTGCTAAACGGCAAAGGTTGAGCAAACAAAAGGGAGGCTCCGAAAAAATTTCTTACCTTCACAAGACCTAGCTCCAAGTCCTCAAGTCTCTTCTCACACTTCAGCACCTCGCTGAATCTCCAAGGCCCAGCTCGTATAGCCTAGCCAAGCACCAGAGGCCTAGCTACACTTCAAAAAATGGTACCAGACCCGGCCACCACAGCCCAGCTCTCGCCAAAACTCCCAAAGCCCAGCTCCAAGGCAGGCCCCGCTCACAAACTCTCAAGCCACCTTTTGAGAAAGATTTGTGCACCACTCCATATTCTTGCGAATCTCCACAAGCTCAGCCTCAAAATTTCAACACTTTCTCACATGCCCAACCCTAAGGACAAGCTCCTAAGAACCAGCTCAAACTCCCAAGTGACTTGTCAAACGGCAGGAGCTGTGAGGATGTTTTCGAGATTCCCACCTGGTGAACAACGAAAACAGTGCAATAGACGTCAAAAATTGATCTAGACACCCTTGCAGATCAAACCACATGTTCAAAGAAGCAAAATAAAGGACTCACCGCGCTTAAACTCCACTCGCCGAATGAGGATGACCTAGCTCTACTTCAGAAGCCCAGCTTCCACTCTCCTGTCTTTTAGACCCTGCCAAAAACAAAGCAGAGCCAACTGTTAGAACTGAACTGGCTAGGGGGGAGCTAAATTCACACCAGCCTTGCCGAACGGCAAGGCTCATACGAAAGGGAGAGCAAGCTTACGAAGTAAAGGCTCCCTCTTTTTGCTCAACGGGCCTAGCCCAAATTCACCAAACCAGCTGCTAAAAACATTACCCTTGCCGAAAGGCAAGGGCCTTGCGATGCAAAAACAACTCTCAACCCTCACCAAAATTATGCCTCCAATCCCTTGCCGAACAGCAACCTCCTTGGAAGAATTTTGGGGGAAGCCTCAATTACTAGTAGTGTCGAGACCAGTTCCCAGCCCGAGCGCACAACTCTCGCACTAATCACCAGCAGCCAAGACTCGACCTCAAAGCTAATCCTAGCCGACACCACTGTCTTACTGAAGCTTGGGAAACAAAAATCAAATCTCCAAGTCCTTGCTGACGCCAAACCCACACCAAAGTACTAGCTCATGAAGCCCAATTCAAAACTCGCAAGATCCGAGTGATACTCTTGCCGAACGGCAAGTGCCGTAGGAAAAAATTTGGGGCAGACAAAAAAAAAATAATGGCTCCAACAACAGGAAAACAAAGTCCACGGAGCTCTGGAGACCCTTACCTAAACCTGGACCCAGCGCTCTAAAGGCACCAGCCTCCCTACCTTCAACCTTGCCGATTCTGCCAACACCTATCACAACAGCATACACGGAGGTTCACAAAATGTTTTTACGGACCCTGCCGATCGGCAACAGGCTCCTCCAAAACAAACCGGACAGCACCTGCCGAAGGCCTAGCTCCAATGGCCCGAACCGAGAACTTTCCCAATCACCGGGTCTTGTCTTAGTTCCGTCACTTCGCTAGGCCTCCAACTCCCAAAGCTTTGCTGGGAATATAGACAACAACATTCAGCAAAATCCATGTCGTACCACCCTTGACGAACGGCAAGGGTCCAGCAGAAGAAAAGGAGGGTCTAAAAACAAAACAAAACAAAACAACAAGGCAAATAGCCTTGTCAAACGGCAAGGACTGTGCAGAAGGTAGAGGGCCACATGACAATACCTGCTGCAGGTGGAGAGACCCAAAACTTTGCCGATGTGTTTCACTTGCCGAAACCAGCACAGCTCGGCTGCGTTCTTCACCCCCTTGCCGAAGCAAGCCCAAACTACTCTCTTGCTGAGCTGCCGATGATAGGACCCGCCCCGAATCTTCTTGGAAACCGGGACGGACCCCGCCTAAATTCCGACATCACCCCGATGCCGGGCCCACTTACTAAAGACCGAGACTTTCTACCAAAAATTTGGCAGAGTCTCCCCTGTAAAATGAACATTCCCAAACTTTAACCTGTTCAAAATTACAGTTATAAACAACCAACTAGCAGCATGCTTTACAAGCAATAAAACAGTTTACAACAAAGGCCTCCGGCCTCACGATTTATACCCTCAGCGGGCGATACAGAGCATATCTAAGAAATTCAAATACAACAGAAGTACAGTTCAACTAAAAGGAAAAGGTGAAGGAGTCCCTACGAAGACTCAAGTTTCGAGAGCACTCGGTCCGGCTCGACTGTGGAGCTCAGTTGCTACTGGCTGGGGGCGCAAAACAGAAAATTGTGAGTGGACGAAAATTAAGTTCAGTTCAATTAAATCAAAGTAATATAACCCCACCTTTATAAAAACATGCAACGAATCCAGATGCATAATAAAACCGTCATAAGCAGTATATAAACATATACTAAAAATAATACCGGATACCAAATCCGAAATCCGTGAATCACACTTCACAAAACCCACCACTCAAAACTTAAGAGTCCCGATAGATTAAACTCTCAAAAACGTACCCAATGGTACGACCGGTGAGGAAGTATCCTTACCGAGAAATAAGAACGACAGAATATTCATATATATATATATATAGTAATATAAAATATAATAATAATAATATATAAATATAACCAAAATTTAGTTGTACCGGGGAAACAATCCAACCGGGGGATTGTTTGACTAGTCCACATGGCAGAGCCATTCCTTAATTCACCATGTGTCTAGGGAACGAGCCGTCCAACTGGGGAACTAACTCTCAGCCAGCACGTACAGCCGACACAGTCAAAGCTTGTACGCCTGAAATACCAGTCCTACGCGTGCAGACTACCCCAAATCCAAGGTCCACAGCAACATCCCCTCAAGGATGTCCTGAACTCAAATAATTCCAAGTGTATTCAGTATCAGTAATCAAGTTTCAGATCCAATGAGGTACATAGGATAGTGCTTAAAGCACTCCAAACAGACATATCAATAATCACCCCTTTACATAAACTCATATTAACCTCCCAAGTACCCCACACATAACCATATGTGTATATATTCTCAAAACCCAAACATATTATCAAAACTTTATGAAAACCACGAATTTCACATTCGAATATATACCATATTCAATAAACAAAATAAAGCAATATGCCATATTTTCCATGAATAAAGTCATGTTGAAGTTTTGAAAGAAAAGTCCACTCACAAGTAGTCCCACACAGTTTGACCCTGAGAGGGTCCCGCCTGCTGCGTATACGGGGTCGGAGTACCTGATTCAGAATACGAAAATGCGATTAACATCAAGCGCTTCGAAACAGAACTTTAAAATAAAACTCTAGCTTCTCAGGTTTCCAGTGAGTACGAGGAAAGAGGTGTTCTAGGGTCCAACTACCCAATTCGCACGATGAAACAGCCTCGGAAGACACTCGGTCAACCGACGATCAAACTTTCCAATTCGAGTCAACCGGGCCCACGGGACCCACGACCTCCGTTTTTCAATCCGGGAGTTCCTATAGGTTTTACAAGGTCTAGGATACACGTCCTGCAAGTTTGGTCTGAAACGGGCGGTTAGATCGCTCACGATCACACGATTGGACGGTTACTGAAACCCTAACCCTAGGGTTGGCATTTTCGGAGAATACGGGACTTTGTTTTTCAGTCCGTTGAATCCTACACGATCCTAAGGGTGTCTAGAGTAACATACTTCAATTTGAAAACGATTCAACGGTCGGAACATATCGAACCCGGATAACGCACAATATGCGATAATCCGTTCGATAGTCAAACGACCTCGGAATCGAGATCCACGAAATCCTACGCGCTCGTGACAACCTAAGGATCACACTGGAACAATTTGCAGCTCCACCACACTTGCCCACACGCCGCCACAAGCGCTGGCAGCAAGCGGTTGTGCAGAGAAATTCCGGTGACGGAAAATCTCCAAATCACAAGTCACCCTCCCGGCTACAGGTCCTACTCAACTAGGGGAGCACTTCATTCAACTACGGCCAAGCCCAAAACCGCCGGGAACTGGCCGGAATTTCGAATTGAAAACCGGCCAAAACCCTAACTTCTCAAATCGGGTTTTACGCAGCAAAAAGATCCAATCCTAACCAAAGGCAGCTAGAACAGATATAGAGAGGAAGAAACCTCACCTCAAACATCGGAAAAAGGCGGCGGAGACGATGGCGCAACGATTGGAAAATCCCGAAATGAGAAAATCTCGAAACGAACCAGTTGCAATTGCCGGCTGTTCTTGAGTTTTCCGGCGACGAAAGCTATTGGGTCTTGACCGGGACGTCGAGACGAAGCTTTTGGGACCGGTCTCGAGGGCTGAGGTGGCCGGAAGTGGTGGCAGCGTGGATTTTTCTGTTCGGGTGAACAGTAACTCTGGAGTTTTTACGTAGAGAGGGAGAAGAGCTCGCGTAGAGAGAAAGAGAGAAAGAGTGAGAGTGAGGTAAAACTGAAAGCAAAGCTGATTTTTACCTAAACCCTTCTCGAGTTAATTACGATTTTTCCATCGAAGGTAAATTGAATGCCGAAATTTCGTTACAAATCCAAATCGAGTCCACCACACGTCCACGGACTCACCTCAATGCGACCAATCCAAAAATACCAAACACTGCCCCAAACTCTCTTTCCGGATTAAGAAAATGACCGAAATACCCTACCCCAAGGGTAATTTCGTAAATTCACATTTAATTAGATAAAATACTTTAAATTGGAAATTTACTTGGAGTCGGGGTGTTACAGTCGAAGCCTTCACAATTCTCCGAGAGGCCTCAAAAATTTCCAAATCACCCCTGCCGTTCGGCAGGTTCTTTTCCAACTACACAGCGCTTGCCACACTTGGTTGAAACCTCCATTTTTTGACCTTGCTGAACGGAGAAGACCCCTTGCTAGAGCCGTGACAACACGAGCCGAGACTTTCTGCTGCCAAAGCCGAGACTTGCCGATGCCGAATGCCCCCACAACCTTCAGCCTTGCTGAACGGTAGGAACCATGAAAAATCTTCTCACGAAAAGACTCGCTTGTTTTAGCTGTTAGGCACTGAAACAGTGAGACGACGAATCCAACATGCAGTTGGCGTTGGGCTTCGCGACCTTCACTCTTGCTGATAGACCAAGGACCTAGATCAAAGGAGCAAAGAATGCCTCCAAAAAGGCTCCCAAGCCACCCTTGCCGTTCGGCAAGGGTAATGCTGCAGACTCGGTGCCCAATACTCGAAGATCCTCGGACCACCGTGAGACTTGGCCTATGCTGCCGAAGCAGTGACAACACGAAACCATATCCAAATCCCCGAAGTCGAGGGTGTGCTCTAGCAGGCTGTAACCTCCTTTCGAACGGTAGCACTTGATTCCCAGCCTAGCTCCTCAATGCCACGCAACCCAACTCCCTTCTAACTTACCAAAGCGGAGAAGAGCGCAAGGCTTGACCATGCACAAACCTTGCGATGTGGAAGAAGGTAATGGCCAGCGCAACACAGCATGCTGAAAGCTTCATACGTAGTCTAAGCCAAGCCTAGCAAAAGACTCATGCCAAAACACAAGGGCTCGGCCCCATAAATCCCTACTTGCAGAAGCATGGGCAAACAAAATTCCAAAACAGCCTGACCTCCTTGCCGAACGGCAAGGGCCGTGTAAAAGGGCCACAAGCCTCACCAAACACCCAAGCTACCCAAGCTACCGAAAAGGAAAAAAAAAGAAAAAAAAAGGCACATTTGCAATTTTCCTTGCGATATGCAAGCTTTGTGTCGCCTTCGGCATCTTCGTACCTAGCCACATCACCTTGCGACATGCAAGCTTTGTGTCGCCATCGGCACCCCGTGCCTAGCCACATCGTCTTGCGACATGCAAGCCTTGTGTCGCCTTTGGCACCCCGTGCCTAGCCAAATCGCCTTGCGACATGCAAGCTTTGTGCCTTCGACACCCCCATGCTTGACCACATCGCCTTGCGACATGCAAGCTTTGTGCCCTTCGGCACCCTCGTGCCTGGCTACATCGCCTTGCGACATCCAAGCTTTGCGTCGCCTTCGGTACCCCCGTGCCTAGCCACACCTTGTGTCACCTTCGGCACCCCCGTGCCCAAGCACATCGCCTTACAAACATGCAAGGTTTGTGTCGCCTTCGGCACCCTCGTGCCTAGGCACATCGCCTTGCGACATGCAAGCTTTGTGCCTTTGACATCCCCTTTGCCTTTGGCATCCCTGTGCCTAGCTACATTGTCTTGCAACATGCAAGTCATTTACCTCTGGCACCCTCGTGCCTAGGCCCATCGTCTTGTGACATGCAATTATTATGCCTTAGACACCCTCATGCCCAGCCACTTCATCCTGTGACATGCAACTTTATGCCTTCGGCAACCCCTTCATCTTCGGCACCCTCGTGCCAAGTTCTCTCCCTTCCAAATGTCCTTCTTACCCAGGGACTTGAGGGACTATGGGCAGTGCACTATATAGCTTGGAAGATGAACTATGGCGTTGCTCGGCCAGTGCACTTAAAATTACAAGTCCCCAACCAAGAAGTACCTTCTTACTCGCAAACTTGGGGGACTGCTGTTGGTACCGTAACTAACCGAGCAACTAGCTTGGCTAGATCATCCACGTGCCATTCTTTGAGAGGTCATCACCTTAGCCAAAGAAGCATTACCACAAGTTACAACTCTAAGCAAAGCAAGAGGAGTCCCACATCGAAAAACTACAAGAAGTGAAGACTCTCCCTCACCTATAAAAGAAGACCACTCTCTACTTAGAAAAGGGTCTTGAATCTTGACCCTTGGGCCTTGGACTCTCTTCTTGATCCCTGCAATATCTTATTCGTAATTTATTGAGTAAATAGACTATTTTTCTAAAAACACTATCTTTTACCAATAAGTTACAGTGTAATGTTTCTATATATCTGAGAACACAACATCTTACCCGTAATTTATTGAGTGAATTGCATATTTTTCTGAGAACGTCATATCTTACCGAAAATTTATAGTGTAAAAAGCCTATATATCTGAGAATGCAACATCTTACCCGTAATTTATTAAGTAAATAGCCTAATTTTCCAAAAACATCATATCTTAACTGTAAGTTATAGTGTAAACGGCCTATATATCTGAGAACGCAACATTATACCCGTAATTTATTTAGTGAATTGCCTATTTTTCTAAAAACATCATATCTTACTGGTAAGTTATAGTGTAAAGTGTCTATAGATCTAAGAACACAACATCTTACCCATAATTTATTAAGTAAATAGCTTATTTTTCTATAAACACCATATCGTACCGGTAAGTTATAGTATAAAAAGCCAATATATTTGAGAACGCAACATCTTACATGTAATTTATTACGTGAATTGCATATTTTTCTGAAAAACCATCTCTTATCGGTAAGTTATAATGTAAAGTGCCAATATATCTGAGAAGGCAACATCTTAAACGTAATTTATTGAGTAAATAGCTTATTTTTCTAAAAACATCATATCTTACCGGTAAGTAATAGTGTAAAAAGCATATATATAGATATATATATCTAAGAACGCAACATCTTACCCGTAATTTATTAAGTAAATAGCCTCATTTTTCAAAAACACCATATCTTACCTCTAAGTTATAGTGTAAAGTGTCTATATATCTGAGAACGCAACATCTTAAACGTAGTTTATTGAGTAAATAGCTTATTTTTCTAAAAACATCATATCTTACCGGTAAGTAATAGTCTAAAAAGCCAATATATCTGAGAACGCAACATCTTACCCGTAATTTATTAAGTAAATAGCCTAATTTTTCAAAAACACCATATCTTACCTCTAAGTTATACTGTAAAGTGTCTATATATGAGAAACGCAACATCTTAAACGTAGTTTATTGAGTAAATAGCTTATTTTCTAAAAACATCATATTTACCAGTAATTTATAGTGTAAAAAGCTTATATATCTGAGAACGTAACATCTTACCCGTAATTTATTAAGTAAATATCCTAATTTTTCAAAAACACATATCTTACCCATAAGTTATAGTGTAAAAAGCATATATATCAGAGAACGCAACATCTTACAAGTAATTTATTAAGTAAATAGCTAATTTTCCCAAAAACACCATATCTTACCGGTAAGTTATAGTGTAAAAAGCCAATAAATCTGAGAACGCAACATACCCATATTTATAAATTAAATAGCCAATTTTCAAAAACATATACTTATCTATAAAAAGTAGTAGAACACATCTTACCCTTAATTTATTAGTAAAAGCCTAATTTTCCAAAACACCATATCTTGCGGTAAGTTATAGTGTAAAAAGCCTATAAATCTAAGAACGCAACATCTTACCCGTAATTTTTAAATAAATAGCCTAATTTCCAAAAACACCATATCTTACCGGTAAGTTATAGTGTAAAAAGCCAATATATCGAGAGAACGCACATCTTACCCATAATTTATTAAGTAATAGCCTAATTTCCAAAAACACCATATCTTAACTGTAAGTTATAGTGTAAAAGGCCTATATATCTGAGAACGCAAACATCTTACCAGTAATTTATTTAGTAAATAGCCTAATTTTCAAAAAACCATATCTTACCGGTAAGTTATAGTGTAAAAAGCTATATCTAAGAACGCAACATCTTACCCGTAATTTATTAAGTAAATAGATTATTTTCAAAAAACACCATATCGTGCCGGTAAGTTATAGTATAAAAAGCCTATATATCTGAGAACGCAACATCTTACCGTAATTTATTAAGTAAATAGCCTAATTTTCAAAAAAACATCAATCTTACGGTAAGTTATAGTGTAAAGTGCCTATATATCTGAGAAGAGCAACATCTTACCCGGAATTATTTAAATAAATAGCCTAATTTTTAAAAAAACACCATATCTTATACGGTAATTTATAGTGTAAAAAGCCTATATACGCAACATCTTACACATAATTTATTCAGTAAAAAGCCTAATTTTCCAAAAAACACCATATCTTGCCGGTAAGTTATAGTGTAAAAAGCCTATATATCTAAGAAGCAACATCTTATCCGTAATTTATTCACTAAATACCCTAATTTTCCAAAAAACACCATATCTTACCGGTAATTTATAGTGTAAAAAGCCTATATATCAGAGAACGCAACATCTTACCAAGTAATTTATTAAGTAAATAGCCTAATTTTCCAAAAACACCATATCTTACTGGGAAGTTATAGTGTAAAAAGCTACAAATCTGAGAACGCAACATCTTACCCTTAATTTATTAAGTAAATAGCCTAATTTTCCAAAAAACACCATATCTTGCCGGTAAGTTATAGTGTAAAAAGCTATATATCTAGAACGCAACATCTTACACATAATTTATTAAATAATAGCCTAATTTTCAAAAAACACCATATCTTACCGGTAAGTTATAGTGTAAAAAGCCTATATCTCAAAGAACGCAACATCTTACAAGTAATTTATTAAGTAAATATCCTAATTTTCAAAAAAACATCATATCTTACCGGTAAGTTATAGTGTAAAAAGCCTATAAATCTGAGAACGCAACATCTTACCCATAATTTATTAAGTAATAGACTAATTTTCAAAAAACATCATATCTTACCGGTAAGTTATAGTGTAAAAAGCCTATATATCAGAACGCAACATCTTACATAATTTATTAAGTAAATAGCCTAATTTTCAAAAAACACCATATCTTACCGGTAAGTTTTAGTGTAAAAAGCCATAAATCTGAGAACGCAACATCTGACCCATAATTTATTAAGTGAATAGCCTAATTTTCCAAAAACATCATATCTTGCCGGTAAGTTATAGTGTAAAAAGCCTATATATCAGAGAACGCAACATCTTACAAGTAATTTATTAAGTAAATAGCCTAATTTCCCAAAAAACACCATATCTTACCGGTAAGTTATAGTGTAAAAAGCCAATAAATCTGAGAACGCAACATCTTACCCTAATTTATTAAGTAAATAGCTTAATTTTCCATAAACACCATATCTTGCCGGTATGTTACAGTGTAAAAAGCCAATATATCGAAGAACGCAACATCTTACCCATAATTTATTAAGTACATAGCCTAATTTCCAAAAACACCATATCTTACTGTAAGTTATAGTGTAAAAGGCCTATATATCTGAGAACGCAACATCTTACCTTAATTTATTAAGTAAATTGCTTATTTTCTAAAAACACATATCTTGCCGGTAAGTTATAGTGTAAAAAGCCTATATATCGAAGAACGCTACATCTTACCCATAACTTATTAAGTACATAGCCTAATTTTCCAAAAACACCATATCTTAACTGTAAGTTATAGTGTAAAAGGCCTATATATCTGAGAACGAAACATTATACCTGTAATTTATTTAGTGAATTGTCTATTTTTCTAAAAACACCATATCTTACCGGTAAGTTATAGTGTAAAGTGCTTATATATCTAAGAACGCAACATCTTACCCGTAATTTATTAAGTAAATAGATTATTTTCTATAAACACCATATCGTACCGGTAAGTTATAGTGTAAAAAGCCTATATATCTGAGAACGCAACATCTTACCCGTAATTTATTACGTGAATTGCATATTTTTCGGAAAACACCATGTCTTATCGGTAAGTTGTAATGTAAAGTGCCTATATATCTGAGAAGGCAACATCTTACCCGTAATTTTTTGACTAAATAGCCAATTTTTCTAAAAACACCATATCTTATAGGTAACTTATAGTGTAAAACGCATAACGCAACATCTTACCCATAATTTATTGAGTAAAAAGCCTAATTTTCCAAAAACACCATATCTTGCCGGTAAGTTATAGTGTAAAAAGCCTATATATCTAAGAACGCAACATCTTATCTGTAATTTATTCACTAAATACCCTAATTTTCCAAAAACACCATATCTTACCGGTAATTTATAGTGTAAAAAGCCTATATATCAGAGAACGCAACATCTTGCAAGTAATTTATTAAGTAAATAGCCTAAGTA